CATCCATTATGTTATGTAGTATGTGTATTGAATGCAGAGTGTGCGTTTGTATACTGTATGCAGTGTGTGTAGGGGATGCATTGAGTGTGTGTGTGTGTATATAGAGTATGTGAGTACGTTAGTATGGTGTCTGCAGAGTAGAAGTAGATGAAGGGCCAGTGCAAGTATTTTTGACAACTCAGGTGAAGATGCAGTTTGACGCTCTCCCTCCCCCCACAAAAATCCATCTTCAGCTGTGTGTCTCTTAACCCACCTTTCCCGTTTTGTGTTTCTTATCCCATCATTTGAATGTCTGACAATTTTTGTGTTTCATCTCCCTTTAGTGTATCTAATCCCACTTTTTCCACTTTGTGTCTTGTCTCTTACTTTCCCCTTTATGTGTCTCTTTCTCCCAGCCCCTTTGTGTGTCATTGTCCACTTCCCCATCTTCGCTGTGCGTGTTTTATTGTTCCGTTCCCAGCCCTCTCTGTGTCATTGTCCCCTCCCTCAGCCCCTCTCTGTGTCATTGTCCCCTTTCCTAACCCCTGTGTATTATTGTACCCTTCCCCAGCCCCTCTGTGTGCGTCATCATCCCCTTTTGTAATGTGGCTAAGTGGAGCGCGGTAGATGAACTTCTGTTTCCTCTACCAGGACTGATAGGAAGCTGTTCCCTGTTCACTGAGCACTTCCTGTCAGACCTGATAGATGATAAAGATCCTCTACCACGGTGTGGTCCACTTTACCACGCTACATGAAGTGACTGGCAGGAGATGTAGCACTGTGTGCTCTCCACCTGTCTACCTCTTCACTTTCTCTTTCACAAATACACACCCTGCCTAATACATAGAAAGACTGGCTAAGTAGATATAAATAGTAGCGATAGCAATTCCTAAATTATAGATTGGTAAGGTTTAAACAACAACATACCCTGTAATGGGGTCATGTGCAGAAGCGGAGTATAGTTATAGGTATAGTCATGCACACGTCTGTACTACACCTTCTGCACATGACCCCATTGCAGGGTATGTTGTTGTTTAAACCTTACCAATCTATAATTTAGGATTTGCTATCGCTACTATTTATATCTACTTAGCCAGGCTGCTTATTTGCTTATTTTCCTAGGCTAGTTGCATGTCTTATGACATTCTTCAGTGATATGTTACCTTTATCATAGTACATCTCATCTCTCCCAGTCCCTCCTGGTACACATTCTTTGTTTGTTTACTAATTTCCATTTGGGGTTACCCCCCATCTAGTAGTGTACCAGATATTGGCTCTATTTCAGCCTCTTTTTTCTTTCCCTTTAACTAAAAATATTTAAATAGCAGAAATGTGTTTCATTAAAATAACAAAATTAAAAGAGAATATCCTATGACATAAATTGATCAAAAATCTATTTTAGAAATGCAGTGGAATTTAACATCTGATACTGAGTACCATCCAGAGGTGGGCAGACTAGATGGGCCGAATGGTTCTTATCTGTCGTCACATTCTATGTTTCTATGTGTCCCCTAACAGAAACCTTTTCAAGTATTAAGTAAGAACAAACTCAATGGAGGCAAATCCCCAAATGCCTAATATGTAGCACAGTGGCGGATCCAGAGCCTGATCTCGGGAGGGGCACTTGTAGATTATTTAAATAAATAATCCAGGCACAATAACCACTAAATCTCAGTGTAGTAGTTATGGTGCCAGTAGTGCCAGGATCCCATCCCAGAGTAAGTAGTCAAACCGTTTAGGAACAGTTTGACAACTTACCTGGGGTCTGCTTCGATATAGGGCATAGGAGCAGTGGTATGTGTTAGGGGTGAAGTGTGTGTGAAAGGTGCAGTGTGTGTGTGTGTGTGAGTGTTGAAGTGTTTGTGCGAGTGTGTGAGGGTGGCAGTGTATGTCAGGGTTGCAGTGTGTGTGTTAGGGGGCAGTGTATGTGTGGGGCAGTGTGTGTGTGAGAGAGCTGCAGTGTGTGTGTGTGAGCGGTGCATTGTGTGTTTGGGGTGCAGTGTTTGTGGGGCAGTGTGTGTAGTTTGTGTAAGGGGGCAGTGTTTGTGGGGCAGTGTGTGTATGGGTGTGCAGTGTGTGTATGTGGGGCAGTGTGAGTAGTGTGTGTATGTGTGTGCAGTGTGTATGGGGGCAGTGTTTGTGGGGCAGTGTGTGTATGGGGGGAAGGAGGGTAGGCAGGCTTTTTAATAATGTGGTTTTTAATTTAATAAAATAAATATACTTTATGCCCCCCCTCCCTTCTTACCTTTACTGGGAGGAGGGGGGACATTTCTGGATCACTGGTGGTCCGGTGGGGATTCCCTGGTGGTCCCAGTGGTTGGAGTGAACTCTAGCCCGTGCACTTGGACAATGCCAGCCCTGCACTAGCCGGCAGGGGTGAATCTCGGGGGGCGGGGGAGGGGCAATTGCCCCATTGCCCCCCCCCCTGGATCCGCCACTGATGTAGCATTAGCACTGAATTCCTTAAATAGATTCCAATTTATAGGGTGCCCAAAAGTTAAACAATTTTTACCAGTAGAATTACTTGTAAAATATTTCTGAATTTTTTATGCTCCTTGGGTCAGTGGTTTTGTTTTTTAGCTACTAATAATTCATTTTTAACAGGTAGTAGACAGCTATTTAAATGGTGGTTTGTTTGAGCCTAAATGTCTCTGTAGGTACCCTAGTGGTAATAATTGCATTCGGTGACTTTTGTGCCAGTTTTTGTGTTTATTTTGGGATTTCAGAGTACACGTTCTTTTATCCTTTCTTTTTTGTTATTTTTGAGGGGATAAATTCACCCTATGGGTGTTAGTTACAGGAGCTGTAATTGCAATTGGGAGAGTAAGGGTCTCCTTAACCTCTCTTCTTAAAGAAATCACCATGGATTAGCTAGGATTCACTTCTATTTTATATATACAATTATTTATTTTTCAATATTTTTTTTTACTCTTTTTTTCATCAGGAGTTTTTCTGTAATTTGGAGGTGTAGCTGTGTGGATTTTCAATGCGTGCATATGATTGAGTATAAATTAATGTATTTGTTTGGAATGTTAGAGTATGCGAATGGAGTGGCGTGTGCATTGATTTTTGTTGTATATGCATTTGTTTTAAAGAAGAATTTATTGAGAAGGTAGATTCAAACAATAGAACACCATTCATTACATAGCAGCTTAATATGAAAACTGACAAGAGTAATGGTACAATGATGTGGTATCCAAGTGCATCTTAAGGGATTCCACTTGGTACAGTTCTAAAAGTAAATTTTAAAAATGTCTGGGCTTCGGTTGACTGCCAAGGGGACACAGTGTCAATCAGAGGGGCTGGATAAGGGGACAGTGACACACACAGAGGGGCTGGGGAAGGGGAAAAAGAGACATGCAGCCATGCTGGGGAGAGAGATACACAAAACTGCTGGGTGGGAGATACAAAAATGGGCTGGGGAAGAGACACACAAAAGGGTTGGGGGGAAATGAGACAAAAAAACAGGGCCGGGGGGAGAGACACATATAAATGCGCTGTGGAGAAAGAGACACAAAAAGGAATGTGGGAGAAAGAGACACACAAAGGGGTTCTGGGGGAAGAGACACACAAAAGACTGGGGGAGAGAGACCTACAAATGTCCTGGGGGGAGAGACACATGGAGGGGCTGGGAAAGGGAAATAAGAGACACACAAAGGGGTTTGGGAAATAAGAGACACACAAAGTTGGCAATTTTTGGCAAATGGGTGTTCTTGCCTAGAGAGCAAAATAGTCTAGCACTGGCCCTGCCAGTGGGATATTCTTATCAAATGTATAGCATACTCCCAGTGTTCTGAGAGTGCTGCCAACATAAGTCAGTCACATTTGGCAACCTAAGATGGAGGGACTATGATTAAAGAAAGAAATATATATATGGTACGTGATAACGTGATGACGTAACACGTGCGAGAGGTGGGAGTGTCCGGAGGAACGGTGAGCGGGCGGAGAGGCGTGGAGGAAGGTGGCCACGCCGAACATGTTTGGCGGCTGGGAGAAAACGCTGCTGTGACAGAAGCTGAGAAGGAGAATATTGATCCGCATTCAAGCTGCGGTTGAGCTGCATTTAAGCTGCATTCCGTTCAATAAATCATAGTGCGGAAAAAATTAACGAAAGAAGAGAGAAAAATGGAGAGAAAAAAAAAAAAAAGGAAATAGAAACGGAAAAAATTTGGTTTTCGAAATATCCCTATGAGCTGCTGGTATGTCGGAAAGGCAGATAAAGATAAAGACAGATAAAAAGTAAAGGAGGACTTTTTATAATAATGAGATGGAAGCTGAAAATCTTGTGAGTATCTCAAAGTAAATTTCAGCCTAACCTCTTGATATACTGCTTATATCTTAGATATATTTAAATACATATATAATCTGTTTGATAATTGAGAGCTGCAATCAAAGTAAATGATAAGTCGAGGCTGATATATAAGCCTAATTAAGCCAATAAAAAATAAAGGCAGAAAAAAAAGAAAAAAGAAAAGAAGGCAAAAAAAAAGGAAGAAAAAAAAAATATATATTTTTTTTTAATAGAGCAAACATTAAAACATGCTATAGTAACAGCAATTAAGCTAAAATAACTGCTATAATAAATGAATTGAGTTTACAGACTGCTATAAGCAAAAAAGCGAAAATGTGCCGAGAGTTATAAGTAGTGAAATTGCCAGTATATATATATTTATTTATTTTTTGAGAAAAATAAACAAGCTGTGGTTGAAAATAAAAAGTATCAATATTTGAAAATGATTAGAATGTTTTTTCATAAGCTGCTATAAGTGGCTATAAGTTGAAAATCATTAAGAAGCTGTCAAAAAAAAAAAAGAGAAGAAAAAAGAGGAAAGAGGAGAAAAGAGAGAAAAGTAGAAAGAAATAGGAAGAAAAAAGAAGGAGAGCAAAAAAAAAAAAGGACAAAAAAAAAGGGGGAGCAAATAAAGTTTGACAACCTTTGTAAGAACAACAAAATGGCAACTAGAAAAACTGCTATGGAGAAAAAGAAGGAAAATAAGTCAGCACATCCAGCAGAAAAAAGGATGTCCGGTTTCTTTTCGACCCCATCTAAAGATATACAAGAACGCAAAAGTGAGAATGAAACAAATCCAGTAAATATTCTTAACACCAATATGGATCTTTTAATGACGCAAGAACCATCACTAGTTCCTGAAACAACGAAAGAAAATTTACAGGATCAGCTTAAATCACTACTAGAGGCACAATTCAACATGCTAAAACAAGATATGCTTAAGAGTCTTGAAGATATAAAACAAGATACTAACAGAATTGCTATATCAGTGCAAGCCATGGAAAAAAAACTTGTCTTGTTTGATAATCAATTAGGCACAGTTAATGAAACAGTGCAGTCATTAACAAATAAAACTCTAATTTTGGAACATAAAATAGCAGCTCTAGAAGACAGATCAAAACAATTTAACTTAAGACTTAGAGGAATACCTGAAGATATAACAACGGAGAAATTAAAAGACTATTTATGCAGCCTATTTAAAGAAGTCTCTCCTGAAATAACTGATTATCAAATAGAAAAATTCCATGGGATACGAAAACCTAATATAATTGTAGCACATCTCCCAAGAGACGTTATAGTGAGCTTCTGTTCACTTTCAGCTAAAAACAACTTGATTAAAGCCAGACGTATTAACCCTTTAGAAAATTCTGCCTACAAAGATATATATTTTTTGCAAGATCTATCTTATTTTACTAGAACATGGAGGAAGTCTTTCTCAACTCTTACGGATTTTTTGAGGAAAAATGACATTAGATTTCAGTGGAATACTCCGGCTTCCTTGAAATTCATTTGGAGACAAGAAAGACTTTCCTTCACTGATTCGGATGAAGCAAAGAGTTGGTTAGCAAGAATTCAAATATGAAAACAACTAGACTGTGGAAGTGGAATGAAAAGGGGAGGAAGAAAAGAGAGAGAAAATATATATTTTTTTTTCCTTTTTTCTCAGAAGAACCTATTTAAATCCTATGATATATGTAATTTTTAAACAACAACTATAAGAAGGAAGAGAATTTATTATCATAACGATATATTAGAAAAGTAGTTCTTATATGCACATGGTTGGAGCTTAGGTTATTTGTAATGCACAAAAATTCATGAAGACAATGTGTTGTGGGATAGAAGGTTGTTGGAAAGAAGAGAGAGAGAAGGGAGAGAGAGAAGAAGAGAAAAGGAAAATAATTTTTTTTTTCTCTCTCTCTCTTTTGTGATAAAATCAGTAATTTGGCTTAGGACATTAAAGGGTTATGCAAATGCAAATATTTTTATACAAATTAAGCAGAGAAAGTACTTTAAAAAGTTTTTATTTATTATAAGATTATATTAGATAAGTACCTCTTATATTTCTATGTACATATTGTTGCAGTCTAGGATATCCGTAACGCATAAAAATATATGAAAATAATGTGAAGTTGATGAAGTAAAAGGAGACATAATAGTTATTATAAATATCTGTTCACATTCTAGTTAGGAGGGGAGGAAGGAAGAGGAAAGAAAAAAGAAGGGAAAAAGGGAAAAGGGAACTACTCATTAGGCTGTTAATATATGGATGTATGGGAACAATGTGACAGACCATGTTATAAAATAGACGCTTGTAATATACTTCACTTAACTTTTATTCATTTTGGAATGATTTCATTTAAGCTGTTTATTAAGGTTTTTTTTATTTTATGTTCAATTAGAAAAATCTGACTAAGATGTGTGATAGATAGAATAGATTGACATTGAGATGGGTCTTTCAAGATTTGAAGATTGTTTAGGTATATTTTAGGAATTAGAAGTAAAGGAAAAAGTGGTGTGGTTCAATAAGGACAAATTTGATAGAAACTAAATATGTTTGTATGTGCACAAGATTGAATTAGAAAAATTGTATGGATTGACTCGTTCACTATTGCACACAAAGGGAACAGAAAAAAGGATGGAGAAAGGAGAGACAGGGAAAAAGAAAGGACACACGGAAATAATGTAATGAAACACGATGATAAATAGGTTATTATAAATATTTTTCACTTAACTGACACCTATCTTAGATTAATTATATTCAATTGATTGATTAGGTTTTTTTTTTTGTTTTTTTTCTGAAGACCCATTTAAAATGCGCGACAGATAAAATAGATGAATATTGAGATGAGTCTTTAAGCTTGAAGATCACTCGTTTATACTTTATTGTACATAGGATAGAACAACTGGAAGTGATGAGGGAGGAAAAAAAGGAGGTAAAGAGAAGGGAGGCCTTTTTTTTTTTTTGTAGCCATAATATTTGGTGAAAAAATAGAGGTAGAAATAATTCAACAAATACAAGATGTAGAAGGCAGATTTTTGATAATAATATGTAAAATCAATTCTAAGATATTCACACTTTGTAATGTTTATCTCCCAAATTATTCACCAGCTTCTTACTTAAGATCTATCCTAGAAAAAATAGAAGAAGTAAAAGTAGGAAATTTAATATTGGCTGGAGATTTTAATGCAGTCATTGATCCACAATTAGATAAAAAAAAACTATGAGAGGAGTCAAAATAAATAAGATGGTAGTTAAACAAGCTAAATCCTTAAAAAACATAAAAGATGAATTTAATTTGTTCGATATCTGGAGAATCCATAATCCAAATCTGAGAGATTATACACACTTCTCTAAAATCCACTTTTCTTATTCAAGGTTAGACATGATCTGGATTGATCCTAATCTTATCGATAAAGTTCAAAAAGTAAATATAAACGAAACAGTTTGGACAGATCATAACGGTGTAGTATGTGTAATAGAAGTAGGAAAAAATTTAAAAGAGTCATATAGTTGGCGTCTAAATGATAGTTTGCTCCGTTTTGAAGCAAATAAAAAATCTATGGAAATAAACATAAATAATTATTTTAAAGAAAATAACACAGAGGATATTGATCCATCCATTTTGTGGTGCGCCTTTAACCCCTTAAGGACTGGACTGTTTTTGCGATGTTGTACATTTGCGACCAGGCATATTTTTACACTTTTGTGGTGTTTGTGTTTGGCTGTAATTTTCCGCTTTCTCATTTACTGTTCCCATACAAATTATATATTGTTTTTTTCAGGACAAAATGGGCTTTCTTTACATACCATTATTTATATAATCTCATGTATTTTAATTTTAAAAAAATACAAAAATCTGATGAAAAATTGAAAAAAATACATGTTTTTTGACTTTTACTTGAAAAATCTTTTACTCATCTACAAAAGCGAATGAAAAAAACTGCTAAATAGATTCAAAATTTTTGTCCTGAGTTTAAAAATACCTAGTGTTTACGTGCTTTTTTGCTTTTTTTTTTGCATGTTATAGGGCTATAGGTACAAGTAGGATATTGCGGTTTCAAAACATACATTTTTAAAATTTATCAATAGTGACATTGTAACACTATTATCTGTCATAAATCTCTGAATAACACCCCACATGTACATATTTTTTTTAAAGTAGACAACCCATTAGTGTTTAAAAACTGGAAAACGTATCACAACAATTATATCATCAGTAAAACTGCTGTTTGTGTGTGAAAAATGCAAAAAAAGTAACTTTCACTGACAATATCATCGCTGTGATATGTTTTACTGTTTTGAATCACTAATATTTGTGTTCAGCGAAGTCTCCCGAGTAAAACAGTACCCCCCATGTAAAGGTTTTAGGGTGTCGTAGAACGTTACAGGGTAAAATACAGTGCTAGCAAATTAAATTCTCTGGAATTTCGGCCTGGGTTGGCAGACAGGTCCCTCAAATTGCAATCAATAAAATTACTGAATTATGTAAAAATATTACATAAATACGCACGTAGAATTTAAATATATATGCATATTTATATATTTGAAGTCTACGTGTATATTTATATAATTATTTATGTAATTTTGTATATGGGCGTATGTATATTTCTTATTATTTTTATTTATTTTTATATACATAGATATATATACAAATTCATTCTAAGTGTATTTTGATATAAATATATATATATTAATTTTAAAATACAGTTAGAATAAAATTTCATATAGCTATATAATTTTTTAAAATTTTTTTATTATTATTTAAAAAAAAATTTATTTAATTTAAATTACTTATTATTTATATTTTATAATAATATATATATACAATATATATAGTTATTATATATATTATATATATACGTGTGTAATTTAATTATAAGTGTATTTTTATATTAATATAAGTACATATTAATATAAAAATACACTTAGTATGACATTATATATATATGATATATAGACATATATTATATAGGTATAATTTATGTCTATATATCATATATACACATATATAATTATTTTTATTTTTTTTATTAACACTAACTTTAATTTATTTTTTGATTTTACACATGCAGGGAGACTGCCTGTCAGCACAGGCAGTCCCCCTGCAGGCAGACACATGGACACCTATTGTGACCATGTGATCGCTGTGTTAAGCGATCACATGGCCACAGGGGTCCTAATCTGCCGTGGGGAGACTGCCTGGGCTGCAGGCAGTCTCCCCACAACCGGAGCCACGCTGATCACCGCCGGGGGAACGACGGCGATCAGGTAAGTAGCTCTGACCGTTAGGACGGTTCAGGACCGTCATCGGTCGGCAACGCAAAAATGCCGATGACGGTCCTGAACCGTCCTCGGTCCTTAAGGGGTTAAAGCAGTAATAAGAGGTCATTTTATTAAACTCCAAAGCCAAACTGATAAAAGTATTAATCTATCTTACCTTTACGGTCAGTTAGGGAAGCTGACTCAAAACAATAAACATAATCCAACAGTTGAAAATTCTAAAGAAATATCAGCAATAAAGGACAAAATTAACCAAACATTAATGGAAAGAACGGTTAAAAGTTTAGATAGATTAAAATAAAAATATTATTCTAAGGGTAACAGAGCTGATAAATTGCTATCACAAAAATTAAGAAAACAAAAGGGTATAAATAAAGTAGAAAAACTTATAAACAATGGAACAACTGCAGTAATTCCAAAACAAATAGGACAACAATTCAATGATTTTTATAGTAAGTTATATAACATTCCTCAAACTACGACAGATGAATACATAAAAAAATATCTGGAAAAAATAAATAACTTTAAATTAACAGAATCACAAAGTGAAGCAATAAATAAAGATATAACTATAGATGAAATAATGAAAGCTATAAATAACTTGGAGGAGTATAAAACCCCAGGTCCAGATGGATTTAGTAATTTATTCTACAAAATATTTAAAGAACTAATTTGCCCTTATATGACTAATGCTTTTAACAGTGCAGCTAAAAGAGGATCTCTCCCAACAGAGATGTTAAAAGCTAATATTTTACCAATTCTAAAACAAAATAAAAACCCTACTGATGTTAAAAATTATCGTCCAATATCTTTGATAGATGTCGACACCAAACTATACGCTTCAGTGTTGGCCGCTAGAGTTAAAAAACTTTTACCATTGATCATACATCAAGATCAAATAGGTTATGTCCCTGGCAGAAACTCTTATACAAGTATTAGGAAAATTGTTAACATCTTAGATGATGCTAAAAGAAATAGGGTTCCAGTTTTGGCTCTGTCGATTGATGCTGAAAAAGCATTCAACAGAGTCAACTGGATTTATTTGGATGCGGTATTGTCGCATTACGGTCTTGATGGTTGGATTAAGAAAGCCATCATGGCCCTTTATGCAAATCCATCAGCACGTACTAAAGGACCAAATATTACAGCCCCATGGTTCCAACTGAAAAACGGCACACGACAGGGATGTTCACTTTCACCGTTATTATATTTGCTTTCTATTGAACCATTAGCCGAGAATATCAGAAACAATAAAAAAATCTATGGCTATAAAATACTAGATGTAGAACAGAAATTAAGTC